CTATCGTTAGAACTATGCATGGTCCGGGAGCGAAGTTAAATCAAATATCCATATTCACTATTTCCTTGATTTTTTTCGATTATGTCATCAATTGCTCATTTTTCATAAATACAAAATGATATAATGTCTGTGATTACTGCGGAGTATAAACCTCCACATCAGGTTTTGATTATCAAAGAGAGCGAGGTGAATCTCATTAAATATTACCGCTGTCCTAACACAATCGGCACCTATAGCAAGATTAGATGCCAACACACGCGCAAACACAAACACACAGACACATATAAATAAATATATATATAATATATGTATGTATGTATAATTATATATCTATGTTTATTTATATACAGTATTTAAATAAATAGACATATGTACACACACACAGACACACACACACGTGAATATACATATATATATATATATATATATATATATATATATATATATATATATATGTGTGTGTGTGTGTGTGTGTGTGTGTGTGTGTGTGTGTGTGTGTGTGTGCGTGTGTAGCTGCGTGTGTGTGTATGCCATATATATTTACACACACACACACACACACACACACATCTATATATATGTATGCATATTTATGCTGTATACACACACACGCACATTTATATATGCGTATTTGTGTGTGCTTTTATCCTCTATGAATACATATATGAACACACACACACACACACACACACACACACACACACACACACACACACACACACACACACGTATATATATATATATATATATATATATATATATATATATATATATATATAAGATCTAGGTAAACTAGGAGTTGACCTTAACAAAAAGGTGGATAAAAGTAAGTTTATTTTCAACTTTTCTGATAGAATATCATCAAATGAACAAAAGGAAGTCTTTTCTATAGGTATGCCACACAGTACCATTTCCCATAATATTTTTTTCCTTTATTTTGATGTCACACCATCTAAAACTGTGAGATTTATAAAGAAAGATGGAATCATATCACCAACAGCATTTCTAATATGGCACTTATAGGAAATTCAAACATCATATCAAGAGCAATCATAATCCACACCCCTTCCTTACACCCTTAAAAACCTTAAAGGATGATAATAACATCGCCATCACCAAACCAGATAAGGGTCGTAGAGTTGTTATCCAAAACAAAGATAACTACCTTAATAAGCTTAAAATAATAGTTAAAGACACCTCCAAATTTAAACCAATCTTATCTGACACTGCTACTCATCTACTGAAATTGGAAGACAAATTCAACAGACTCTTAAGTTCGATAAGAACATCTATCGGTGAAATCATATACAACCTCCAAACTACATCTGGCTCCAAACCTGGTTTCTTATATGGCCTTCCCAAAATGTATAAAACTAGTTAACCACTACGCCCCATCATTTCTGCTGTTGGAACCTTTAATTATAATGTTCTTAGTTAAGATCACCGCCCCACTAACTACAAATGAATATACCATAGAAAACTCTTAAACCACCACGGCCTGTCACAGTGGCCAGTTTTGACATAGAGTCGTAATTTATTAATGTTCTTCTCAATGACACCACTAATATAATTATAAACAAAACTGCCTCGTCACTCATAAACTCGTATGGTCTGGACAAGATAACTTACAAGAAACTACTGGATATAGCTGCTCACAACTCAGTGTTTGCCTTTAATGACTATTTATACGCAAATAGACGGCGTAGCAATGGGATCACCACTTGGCCCTTGCTACGCCAATACCCTCCTTTGCCACTATGAACAAGCTTGGTTGAATAATTGTCCTGCTAATTTCAAACCTATTCTATATCGTCGTTACATGGATGAATGAATTCTGTAATGTATTGACATAATAGTAATTACATAATAATCAGTTTTTTAATGTTTGTATTTATGGAAAGTTAATATTTTCCTGATTGTAGCATCGTAGTCTGGTCGTGGGTGCTATTAATACAGTCTACAGTAAAACCAGAAAGCTCTGGCCGCTCGTTTTCGATTAATTATTATCAAATATATTTATTGATAACGTTTTCACATTAGATCATCAATTTATTTTCCATTTTCATTAATTTAACATAACATCCATTACTTACTTCTCCACTCATTTATTTACGTGCTCGTATATCTGCTCATGCTCATTGTACAGGTTTACATGTCCATGTGTGTATATCTCTTTATTATAAATATAATAATTTGCTTTGTTGGTTATTATCTGGACTGCAGCATTGGATTATCATATCTTATTACTGGTTAACAATTCATTAGATAAAAATATATATATATATGTATATATATATATATATATATATATATATATATATATATGTGTGTGTGTGTGTATATATATATATATATATATATATATATACATATATATATACATATATCACTCTTGCCACAAGAACATTTTTAGTATTTAGTATCTGCTCTTTCATGCACCAACACCACCGCAAATTATGGAGAAAATACTGCGCTTTTGATAACGTTTACGAAACCCGGA